AGTCGGTGACTACTGATTATTATGTTTCAAATCGATTAAATTTTTTAAAAGGTTGGCGGATATCTCGTTCAGCAACTTCTATTTAATTTATTCTCGCATACCAAAGACAAAGGAAAACCCTATAAGTGATCGTCTAAACTAAGTGATATATTTCGAGACCAAAACAAGCCTTCAGACGAACGCTTAGCTAGCTAGTGATCGTGCACGTGACACGACGGGGTACCAAATGGCGGGGATGCTTGACCGGAAGCCTTCAGCTAAACAAGTCGACTTAAACAGTGGTGGTCAGCATCCAATGAGTGATTGCTGTGGTCAATAATTTTGGGGAATTATTTACCGCTACAGCTCACTCCCCCCTAGTGGGGTCGTGAGGACCCTAAGACAGAACCAGCCGGAAGTAAAAAAAACTCGATGGTTCCCTTTCGGGTGAAAAAAATCTTCCGAGCGGCTTGGTGGTATGCCTACTGGTTTGTCTGCCTATGCTAATAGGGTGTTTGTACATAGCTTCCTTGTTGTTGTTCGTTGGATTCCGTGCTTCGTTTGTTTCCTGTCCAGTGCCCGTCGCACCTGGAAAAGAAAACAAGAACGCTAAGAACCATGTCGAGGAAAATGTACGAAATGAGCTTTTTGGTTAAAAAAAATTATGTGCATTTACTATACAGTAAAATAATGCTAAGTTCAGAACATCGAAAAAAAATACATCTAATTAATTTTTTTGTGTATGTTACATGAACTGTTGAAAAAAATTTTTTGTGTTCGGTGGTACTGTATATAAAAAAATTTATACGTCAAAAAAAATAGTAGTACCACAAACGAGTGAGTTGCGTGAATCACACGACTTCGTTAAGTCAAATAAGTGTGCAGATATTCTGGGAACCTTACGGTGCGTCCAGAACGGGTTTTCTTGGGAGGCTCGATAGAAGGTTCGGTAGCTGTCGCTGTGCTAGTGACTTCATCGATGTCTAAACGATCTTCTGTTACTTGTGGATTTTGGGGTACGTTCAGCTCTATGCTAATAGGATTACCCTCCAAGTAAGCCGGTTTCAGACGGTCAATGCTGACGGTGTCCTCGCGGCCGTTTTTGTCCAAGACAAAGAATTTATCAGAACGTTTAATTACCTTATAAGGTCCGTCGTATGGGGTTCCAGGGGTCTGCGCACAGAGTCGCGACGAACAAATACATGTGAAGAAGTTTTCAAACACGGATGAACGAAAACATCAATGGACTGTGGACGAAGGGGAGCAGGTTTAACTGAACGCATTGCGTTTGTAAGCCTGCTGACGTATGAAGCGTGATCTACCACTGGTGGGAAGCTCGAGGGAGAAACAAATTCACCAGGCAGTCGCAGTGTCGTGCCATATACTAGCTCGGCGCTAGTACAACCAGCATCGGTTTTCAAGGCGTTTCGTATCCCTAGGAGAACTAACGGAAGGGATTCAGTCCAATGGGTGGTGTTTGCAGCTGACAGACCAGCTTTCAGCTGTCTGTGTAGACGTTCTACCATACCATTAGCTTGAGGATGGTAGGCTGTTGTTCGAAATCGCATGCAACCTATGATTTTAGTCAGGGCGAAGAATAAGCCACTTTCGAATTGCCGCCCGCGATCAGTTGTTATGGAAGATGGGCATCCAAAGTTAGCGATCCATCTTTCTACGAAGACGCGTGCGACTGTTTCAGCAGATACATCCTTGATGGGTACTGCTTCCGGCCATCGTGTGAATCGATCGATGCAAGTTAAAATATAAGTATATCCATGTGATTCAGGAAGGGGTCCAACCAAATCTATATGGACGTGTTCGAAACGAGCGTCAGGGAGAAGAAAGGTGCCAAGTGGGCTTTTGGTGTGTCTTATCACCTTGCACTTTTGACAAGCTAAGCACGTGTGTGCCCATTCCCTTACTTCTTTATTAATGCCAGGCCAACAAAACCGACTAGTTACGAGCTTGACAGTAGTTCGAATACCTGGGTGAGATAAGCCATGCAACGTATTGAAGACGTTACGGCGATAACTTTTAGGCACGATGGGGCGAGGAGTACTCGTGGAAATGTCACATAGAATAGTATCTCTTCCCATACCTAAGGGTTTCTCAGCTAATTGTAGAGTTGTTTTCGACAACTCATGTTGAAGCTCGGTATCTTCTTTTTGAAGACGAGCCAGTTTTACAAGGTCTATGCCGTCGATTTGGGTGAGGGAACAAACGCGCGACAAGGCATCTGCCACAGTGTTGTTTACTCCGGATACATGGCGAATATCTGATGTAAACTGTGAGACGTAATCCAGTTGTCGTGATTCCCTGGGTGAATACTTATCTGAAGGTGAGTTCAGAGAGTACGTCAGAGGTTTGTGATCCGTAAAAATTATGAATTCACGACCCTCTACCGAATGTCTAAAATGTCGTATAGCACAGTACATAGCCAGAAGTTCTCTGCCGAATGTGCTGTACTTCGTTTCAGCTAATTGAAGGCGCCTGGAGAAAAAGGCAAGTGGTTGCCACTCATTGTCAACTAGCTGTTGTAGAACTGCGCCGATTGCAGTGTTTGATGCATCAACCGAGATACTTAACGGTGCCGTTGGATCCTGATACATCAGAAGTGTGGCATTCGCAATAGCTTTTTTAATCTGGGTAAAAGCATTTCGAGCAGACGCGTCAAGTTCTATGGACTTGTTATTCCCTCGAAGGAGGTCTGTCAATGGCTGAATCAAAGAGGCACAGTTGGGAATAAAGCGTCGATAATAACTTACTAAGCCGTTAAAAGTGCGGAGACTTTTCACCGTCTGTGGCTCTGGAAAGTTCAGTATAGCCTCGACCTTAGTAGCCAGTGGGCGAATGCCCTTGCAGTCAATAGTGTGACCCAGAAAGTCGAGTGAGTCAACACCGATTTGACATTTTGAATATTAATGGTAACACCATGTTGGCGTAACCTGTCAAATGCCAAGTCCAAGTGCCTAAGGTGAGTTTCCTTGTCTGGACTGGCAATGAGGCAGTCGTCTAAGTATGCGTATACAAAGTCGAGACCGCGAAATACTTCGTCAATGAAGCGTTGGAATGTTTGGGCTGCATTCCGAGACCGAATGGCATACGTAGAAATTCAAAAAGTCCGAAAGGCGTAATGATAGCCGTTTTCGGGATATCTTCTGTTGCCATCGGGATTTGGTTATACGCTTTAACCAAGTCGATTTTGGAGAATATAGTCGCGCCGGATAAGGTTGCCGTCAAGTCGTGTATATGAGGCAACGGGTAGCAATCAGGGGTTGTTTTGGCATTCACTCGCCGGTAATCACCGGTGGGTCGCCAATCATTGCTATCCTTTTTCGGAACCATATGAAGTGGGGATGCCCATGGGCTATTCGAAGGTCGAATGATGCCAAGGGTAAGCATATGGTCAAATTCATTCCTGGCGATTCTCAGTTTGTCAGGAGCTAATCGTCGTGCTTTAGATGTCACAGGTTGTCCTGTGGTAATGATGTGGTGCATAACATTGCTGGTTATGCACGGTAGGTCGTTCGACGGGCAATTAAGTTCCGGATACTTGTCAACATAGGTTGAAAAGTTGGATCAAGAATTGCCTTTATCTTAACGGGTGACAAACTAGGGCCTATGTAGCTGATGCCTTTGATAGACAGACTAGTAGTATTGTCAATCAGTCGTTTTCGGCGGACGTCTACGAGTAAATCATGATGATTAAGTAGGTCCGTGCCAATGATGGGCATTGTAACGTCAGCGAGAAGGAAAATCCACCGAATAGGTTTGCGTAAACCTACGTTCAGATAGACGTATTTCCTACCAAAGGTTGCGATTGGTTTTCCATTTGCAGCCTGTAAGTTGAAGGTAGGTTCCTTCTGTCGATCTGCTGCTGTAGCAGGAAGGACGCTGACTTCGGCGCCTGTGTCGACTAAGTATCGAGTCTGGCTTATCACATCATGGATGTAAAGTAGGCGGCTAGTGCCACCGGCGACGGTTGCCGCTAACGCGTGCCGGCGGGATAGTTTCCCACAGACTTTGAGACATTTCCGAAGTTACAAGGCTTACGGCAACACTTCGCTTCTTGGCCATAGGTGTTGTGGTACCAGCACCAGTCAGGGTTTTTCAGTGAACGTGGTTTGGACTTAGATCGACCACGTGAGTTCCTGCGTTGAGGAGATTTAGGACGACGGTCGGAGGATTTAGAATGCATGTTTGACCTAAACATCTGCTGGATGGAGTTGCATAACTCTATCATTGCAGGATCCTTACTCGAAGTCTGCTTAGTCATCGAGCATATTTCGGGGACAGACCGTTTAGTTATTTCTAGAATCCTATCTGCAGTAATAGCTAAGTCTCTATTACAGTACCCTGAAGTGTCACAAGTACGGTCTGTACAGACTGTGGCAACTTGGTTAAGAAGAGTTCTCTAAACAGTCCTTCGTCGAACTGACTTTGGCCGACGACTTCTTTCATTCTTGTCAGCATGCTCACGGCTGACTGATCTCCTAACTCGATGTTACGAAATAATTCATCTAGACGTTGTCGGTCCGTGAGAACGTTTCTCCTGAGGAGGGATGCTTTCAGCAACTCGTACGAGTTACTTACCTCGGGACTGAACATCTGTGATGTTACGTACTTGCTGAATTCCCGCGGTAGGGCGTGAATAACTGCAAGTAACTGTGAACGTTGATCGGTTATCCCATGCTCACAAAAATCTGCTTCAGCTAGCAGAAACCACGTTTCAGCATTATCTGGCCAGTATGGTACGAGCTGAATGGTTTTAGGAGTTGAGCGGATACGGATGACCTTGGGACTAAGATCACTCATGACGAAAATTATGTCGAATAATATATGGTACAAGAACAAATACAAAATGGAACGAACTCACCGGGGTTATCTGCGGATTTTCGTGGATGAAGTTCGCGGTTGGGCTCACCAGTTTAAAGGTTGACGGATATCTCGTTCAACAACTTCTAATTAATTTATTCTCGCGTACCAAAGACAAAGCAAAAGCCAATAATTGATCGTCCAAACCAAGATATATATTTAGAACCAAAACCAGCCGTTAGACGAACGCTTAGCTAGCTAGTGATCGTGCACGTGACACGACGGGGTACCAAATGGCGGGGATGCTTGACCGGAAGCCTTCAGCTAAACAAGTCGACTTAAACAGTGGTGGTCAGCATCCAATGAGTGATTGCTGTGGTCAATAATTTTGGGGAATAATTCGCCGCTACATATTTTTGTGTGGAGTTTTCAAATATAGAAGTGCTATTCAGAAATTATCTCACGCGATAACACATACGGCCTTGACTGATAGACTTGCTTCTTTTTTCAAATTGGTGTGGTACGTGCCATTTTAATCAGTTCATTTTATTTTGCTAGTAAGTATGCTAAGGTCTTGGTGATTTTTTAAGTTTGCTTACGTACAGTGTTCACTGCTTTGGGTCAAATAGTTCGAAGTTATGACCGTCGTAACCATCTCAATCAGAATGTGTGGGAGTTCATAGACCTATATGCTAACAAACTAGTAGTACATTTGTGCAGCAACATCACCAATGAATTTAAAGATTCACCCAAAGATTTTGACTTTCAAGTGTGTAAAAAAGGGTGCCAGTTTTGTGTGAGAGTTATCGAAATGCGGCATGTTCGACATTGTTTTATTGTCCAGAAATTTGTAGCTGATAACTCATGAATTCTATGGGAGAGGAACAAACATTCCTGACAATCCCATATTTTTGAGTCGATTTGGATTAGAATGACATCTGTGTCTATCATGGTAATATACACGGTGCACTCCCAGTCGGTTACTTTTTTTGTGGACCTGGGATATGTGGGTAAAAACGTGGGCAGTTTTCCGTTGAAATGTGGGCAAAGTGGGATAAAGTGGGCTGTAACATGGGTAAAGTGGGAAAACGGGGTAAAAGTGTTGAATTGTTCGTTGAAAACGTGGGAAAACTGGGTAAAAGTGGGTACATTTGTTATTCCGGCACATGGGATAAGTGGGTAAAAACGTGGGTCAAGTGGGAAAACTGGGAAAAAGTGGGACAAAACATTTTTCACTGACATGGGAAAACGGGGAAAAAGTGGGAAATGTGGCCAAAGTGGGTAAAATCGGTTGCATTTACACCATCTTTTGCCCACGTGTTTGCCGATCTAAATTACCCTTTTATCCCACGTTTGCCCACGTTTGCCCATGTGCATTAACAGACTGGGCTTTCACCTCTGTGATTGGCCAGGATTGTCTTGGTTGTGCACAAGTAAATTTACGCATTATTTTTAGTGTAGAGCTGTATTCAGATGTGTTTACCGATACTATCTTTCAAAGGATTTAGTCAAATTCAATTTTTTTAGTTGAAAATAGTGTTTATATGCATGCAAATAATTAGTTTAACGTTTATCGATTTGTAGCATTAGAGCAGACGTGGTATCTGGTTACCACTTGAAGTGTTTGTATACTGCACTTTGTTTTGGTCTATTTTGTTACCAGGCCTAAAATTGACGCTGATCCATGAAGTCTTTGATTGATTTTTTAACGGAATCCATAATTCTACTTGAATACTTGGATATCGGAAACTGCTTACAGATTTGTTAAAGTGACTAGAATTTGTCTTCAGTGATGGGGATTTTGTTGTACTCCAATACATGCGTTCTCCTATTGTGGTATTGATACATTTCCTGTCATGTGTGCTGTGAAAACTGGCTATGTGGCCTGACGCACGCGTTAGTAAAAGTCCTGCGTTGTTACGGTAGTCAATCATCATTACGTGCCTTGGCGGAGTTGTCTATTCATGTTTTTATCATTATTTTCAATTTTAGAGCCTTGTTTCGATAGAGTGAATTATCGCTGCCCTATCTTCAGGTCTCCTTACAAGAAACCCACAGAGTTCACTTAATCCGTCAGTTGGATTTTAACATAGTTCTCTCGTGTGTATATTGGCAACGGGTATAAAATGAGCATATGCAAGCTGGCGACAGAATTTGCTATTTCAAATGGTAAATGACTCAATTTCGCTTTGTATTTTTAGGGATTCTGAAACAGGTTGATGGAAATCCATCCATATTATCATGTACCTTGTCACCATCTCCTATGCCGGAATTATTGCTTCGCAAAGCACAAGGAATTCAGTGTGACTTCAATTTACTTTATCACAAAGCCGCGATGGATCATGAATTTTTGGAAATGGTGTTAAAACCGTAGGATTTCATCCGACTTATTTTTCAGTATTCTTCCCGTAGATCCATATCTTCGATCTTTATGGGATGTTTATTTACGTACTAGAGGTAGCGAAAACAGACAGGTGAGTAGTTGGTATGGACACTTAATTTTAGCATTACTGTGAAAGTTTTGGTTCTGTTTGTTTAAAATAAAATGCTATGGAACTGTATTTTATTGTTATACTCAAAAAATCAATTATTAGCAGATCAAAATGATACAATTTGTGAATTTCAGTGTGTATTTTAAAAATTTTCATTTAAGGACTTCATACATTAACGTCTTATCAATAAATAAGATAAAGTACTAGGTTTACAGCTAAGGTGGGTAACTTTAGCATTGTCGCCTTCTCTGAGTCGGGAGTTTCAGTGAAGTTTCACTGTGTGAAAACATTTAGAGCTCTAATTACTAGATGAAATGAACTTTTGTGCTTCTTATCGGACGTACTGATAAAACAGAGCGTGATTCGTGCTCTTCATAGGTCTTCTTATCCTCTTGTTTACATGTATTCGTAGTGAAGATTGTATCGACCTGATATCTGACCTTTTGTCTGTGGGACTTATATTTATTATATGAAAGTCTGGTATGTATTCATGTATCTGTTGACTACAGATTCACCTAGGCACTATGTTCGCAGAGATCGTTTGGCATGCTCAACATATATATATATATATACTTCCATATTAGTTGGTTTATTAGATACATCGCACAGTGAAACAGTATTACTTACTGGATGACGTTTCGAACAAAACTTATTGTCCATAATCATATCAATTATAATCACACGACTTTGAAACTTGACTTTTATAGTTTTCTTTGTTCTCTCCCATTTGTCGTCGTTGGGTTAGCAGAATTTTCCAGATGTCTGGGACAGGTGTTGAATCATTTTACAACTGTCATCTCATCGCATCCTGTTGTATGGTTGTGTGTACTTGCATGTAGTATTATAGCTGAAGTATTATCTAGATTTATTATCTTATTCGGGTCAAGTAATGTACATTTTGCTAGGTTTTAATGCTCGGCTAGTCTGACTGCACCTGTTCAACTACTTTGACCTATGTATTTGACCTGACAACCGTTGCAGGTAGGATATTAGATAAACTAAATTGTTTTGTTTTAAACGTTACACAGGATCGTTTAACCAACAAAACTTGTTTCTAATTGAGTTTGTGGGTTTAAATGCCACTTTTGTTCTTGCCTTGTTAAGAACTCTGTGTAAGGTTTCCAAGGTTCCTTCTTTGTATGGAAGTACTACTGATCACTTAGATTCCTTGTTGTTGGTGTTGTCATTATCCTGTGTATGTTTGATACGCATGTCATCATTATTATTATAATTACTATTATTATCACTATCACTATTATCATTTAATCTTTAGATTTCCCTACATACTTTCCGACTAATTTATCAGGGTAATTATTACGCTTCAAAGCTTCTCTTATATGCCTCACTTCCTGTCTTAGATTTTCTTTCATACTTAGTTTTTGTGCTCTATTATTTAAACATATCACCAATCCTATTTTCACTGGCATAAGATGGGATGATCGGAATTCCAAATATCTGTTTGAATGTGTAGGTTTCCTGTAAACACTAGTGTTTAACTTCCCATCTTTCCCTTTTACGCTGCAATCTATCATTGGAAGCTCGCCTTCCTGACTTTCTAATTCATAAGTGAATTGAAATGCCTCCACCTTTGAGTTAATATGTTTAAAAAATCTATCTATATCCTGTGTTCTAAGTACAGTGGACATGCCATCTACGTGCCTCCACCATACTTTTGGGGTGGGCCTGAACGCTTAAATCGCCATGTTTTCCCACCTATCCATGAATATATCTGTCACAGCCGAAGATATTGGTGATCCCATGGCAACTCCCTGAATTTGTTTGTATATTTTTCCATGGAATTTAAATAGTGTGGAAGTCTGGCATAGCTACACTCCCAGCATTATGTCCTCAAGTCCGAAGTTCGAGTTCTTGGTTAGAAATGAGTCCGTTTTTGACTGCCTCTATAGCCATATTTATTGGTATACGTGTATATAAACTAACAATGTCAAAACTAACCATTTTTTCTTTATTATATAATTTTAAATTATCTAATCTGTGTTTTAGTTCATAAGAATAAGTTAGTCGAGATTTCGAGTGGCTTTTAAGGGGATTTAATACCATGGCTAAATATTTAGATAATTCATAAATAGGTGAATTCCTAAAATCAACTATGGGCCTAATAGGGTATCCTGACTTATGAACCTTAACAACACCATACATCCTACTGGGATTATTAGTTTTGGGCATTAAATTAAACTATTTAGGCTCGCCTAGAAACGGCTTCATTCGCCGTATGAGGTCCGCTGTGCATTTATTAGCCTAGATAATAGTTCAACTATAACACCACACGCAATTACACACAACCATACAATAGGATGCGATGAGATGACAGTTTTAAAATCTAATGTAACAGGGTGGAGGGAGAGATTGATAACAGAATTTTTGTTTGTCGAATCAACTTCAAAACATGTAGTAGCAATGATTCAACACCTGTCCCAGATATCTGAAAAATTCTACTACCCCTACGACAAATAAGAGAGGACAAATAAAACTATAAAAGTCAAGTTCCGAAGTCGTGTGATTATAACTGATATAATTATGAACAAACAATATTGTTCGAAACGTCATCCAGTAAGTAATTCTGTTCCACTGTGATGTATCTAATAAACAAACTAATATGGAATAGCTTACTACCACAGTGCCGACGTTATATATATATATATATATATATATGACAAAGAAATTTAACCCGGTTTCAGGTCGATGAAGGCGTCTCTAGCCTTTCCCATTCCAACCGACTCTGACATCTTGATCTTTTCTGCCAGTTGTGGTTGAAACAATGCTTCCTAGATAAGTAAAAGCAGAAAGTAACCTTTGTCAAATCTCTCCCGCTGGTGGTGATTGGCGCTGGTTGTTGTTGTTACAGTCCATTTGGTTATATTCATCACCGTCTTCTCTATGTTCATCTGAAGTACTGTCTTCGCTGTCTGCTTCTTGAGCCAGTTTGTTGCTTTTCGTCCGACATTAGACCTATATCATCCACACGCGAGATGGAGATCTTCTAGAGTCTTCTTGTCGGCGGTCTAGTATATTCCTGTCTCCTCGCTCTCCATAGTCTGACGCATAGTCCAGTCCACCACAATTAAGAATATCATCAGCGATAATAGGCAGTCTTGCCTTACTCCTGTATTCACTTCGAGCGCCTCGCTGCGTTCCCCGTTGTGGACCACCTGACACGTGGCATTGTCATGTAGTTGTTGGATAAGGTTGATAGAGACTTGGAAACTGCACGCCGTAGTGTTGAAACAGTTTCTAAATTACTTCTCAGGGAACACTGTCGAAGGCCTTTTCGAAGTCGATAAAGTTGAGGTAGGGTGAGGTTTGACTATGATTCTACGCTTTGTTCTGTGATGACGATGCATGGACTTGCAATTTGATCAACGCATGATTTGCCTTTCCTGTATTCAGTCAGCTTGTTCCGTGTGGTGGGCGGAGTTCTGTATCCAGTGCATCTTTTATCTCGTCCAGGATGATGCGACTTAGTATTTTACTTGGTTTGGATAAGAGCATTATTTCACACCAGTTTTGTAGAGGCCCAAGTCACCCCTCTCTGGCAGCTTGATGAGGTAGCCAGCTTTTCTCCCAATCGGTAGGCACTTTCCTTTCCTTCCGAAACTTTTGAAACAATGGCGCGAGAACATCTGTCACAGTCTCTGGATCCGTTTTCGGTGTTTTGAGTGGTGGTGGTGGTGAGGGCGAGGAGAATTAAGTGTGGTCCTGCTGCCTTCCTTACTGGACTTCAGGAGCTTGACCGAATTCGGGATTTCTGCTTCCGTTGGAGAATTGGTGACCACTGGGAGACAGTTGTGTGCGTTCTGTTGTTGGTGGTGTATTTCTGGAGGATTTGCGGGTAATGGTCAGTTCAAGATTCCTTTAAAGTGATCAGCCCATTATTTTACTCGTCTCTCCTCTTTGGTAATCAGGTTCTCTTGAGCATCTTGTATTGGTTTGGTCATCTGAGTTGACCTCTTCTTAGATAGAGACCTGGTTGGCTGATATAATGTCCTAAGGTCTCTTTTACGTGCAGCCTGCCTGTTCTGTTTCAGTTGCCGGCCAGTGTGTCGTAGAATTGTCTTCTGTCGTTCCTGGCACTCTTCTTCACGTCTTTCTTGATTCAGTGCAGTGTACATCGCTGTGAACTCAGCTTCTCCTTCTGTTGTCCATCTTTGCATTGAGTCGTCTTCTCTTTCGCCATCCTCCTCTCCTCGATTAGCTTCCAGGTAGGTGTCCGTTGAGAGCCATTTCTTGTCGTGTCTCTTCTTTTTTCCTAGAACATTTGTACACGTTCCCCTGAACACCACATTCAGAGAGATCCAATGTTCTTCCACATAGGTTTCCTCAGTGATATCACGTAGCGTATCCGACTTTGCTCTGATTTGTTGTGTGGTGAAGGCATCCCTTGTGGTTTTGTCCTTCTGTTTCTGAATGGTGAACTTGAATTTTGGCCTGTCTTCAGTTGTTCTGGAGGATTTCAGCTTTACCTTGAAGGTTTCTTGAACTAGATGATGCTCTGAGACCACATCTGCTCCTCTTCGTGACTTTGTGTCCGGCAGACTGTCTGCGTCTCCACTTCCTTTAGCCAGTTTGAGTTGTCCTCTATCTGGTTCGTTGTGCTGCCGTTGGTGACATCATGGCAGCCACTCACTTCCTCAGTGTGCTCGCGGTTGTCGTCTGGGTGACCAGACTGGAGTAGATCACTGACTCACCAGTTCACAATTTTAACACTCCACATCCATTCCACCTGTTCCCGCAGATTCCCAACACTTCTGTGCCATATCTTTGCATTTCTTTGGCTACCTGGGTAGCCTTCCCACTCTCGTACATTTTACTTACATCCTAAGTCGTCATTCTTATTCTTACTTTCACCGAGGGAAGACACATCGGCTGACTGGCTTCCCGAAGGTGAGCTTTCACCAGCCCGCTGTGTTATTTCGCATCTCTGATTCCAGCGAAGAATAAGATTGTTATTTGAATTTTTCAATTTTCGATATATTTTTGTGCGTTGAATTTTCTGTAGCAGTTTGATAGCTTCTGTTATGTTATGTCTTTGGCTTAATGGCTAACCTTCCTTCTTTACTAGGTCCTAGGACGGGTTACAGATCTAGCTTGCTAGTTAACTAGTCTAGGGTTAATGGTTATATGCAACGTGTTTATACAGCGGAAGTGTTGTTTTTTGAAGTCGGGAAGCGGGAGTTCTACTATTCTCATTTGTATTATTATGACTTATTTGCATTATCAAATCCAAGTGTTTCTTGTTTTCACATGCTTCATTTTGGGTGCATTATTGTTATCCTAAGATTTATAGTTGCAGTTTTTAGCTTATTAATCTTAAATGTTCATATTTGTGACTGTTATATTTTATAGTGTGGATATTCAAGCTACAGTAAACCTAAATATTAGGAAAGGTCTTTTCAATTTTAGATTCCTTTTGCGTGACAGTCTCTGTCGCCACACCCCGAGTTTAGATAGGTTGGTATTTTGTAGCTTTTAATATTTGAGTTGTTTTTTTGTTACGTAAAGAATCCTTTCTAAGGACCTGTTTCTGATCTTTTCACAGAAAATAGTTTTAGGACTTAATCGATCTGATTATATGTTACATCTTCATGAAGATTTATGTGATACAAAGAAAAAATTCATTACACATCGACTACGAAACACAAAGGTGGCTGCAGAGTATGAAATAGAAACTCAGGACGGAGTTTGGGATGGCTTGTCCCTGCGTCAGGTTGAATTCAATATGATCGCATCAAGCTTTGGTGGCCTATTGCAGCGCCTTATTCCACAGCATCGCATCTCCTTGTCTCTTCAGGGTTTATCCAAGAACTTAGCTACTCGTGTAAGTTCGAGGTTAATAATGATAAACATTTTGTACTGACATTTATTTTCAATCAGCTTGTTTAATAGATTAATATTCGTGTAAAACTTTGGCATTGTGATAGTATGTAATTCTATATTAATTTGTTTATTAGATATATCACACAGTGAAACAGTATTGTCTACTGGATGACGTCTCTACCATAATTTATTGTTCATAATCATATCAGTTATAATCACACGACTTTGAAACTAAATTGTTTAATTTAGCTTAGTCCATAGTTGTTTCACTTTACACTAGTGAATTTCATTTTTTTTATTTACCTGAAGGACAGAGCTGTGTTCTTTCTACTCTCATGGTAGGCACTAGTTTATTGCAGTTAGTTACTGAACATTTCGGACCTTGTTGAGTTTTCCAGCCTTTCTTATCATTTGCTTACAGAAAGGGTTTATTAGCTTTTGTGTTAGTACCCAGAAGTTCAAGTTACCGTATCTAGTATTTGGTCACCGTATAGACGTTATTAAGAGCTGAGGCGGAAAAATGTAGATAAATTGTTCATTATTCTTAGTACTTATTAAGAATAGGAAAAAGGTGAAGAGGAAATATGAATACGATATTGTGATTAAGATGAAGATAAGTTGTGGTTTTATCTCAACTACTGTTATCAATAAGTTAGGGTCAGGTGCCTCACTGAAACCAATATTCAAGGCTTTGCAGGTTACTGGTACATATTTTCTAGCCACTTTTCTCTTTCCTTTAGCATATTTCAAACTTAGGCAACGTAAATTATCGAGGTGCTCAGTGGCTAGGTGTACGTAACATATATTCCAGCCACTTTAAGCGTTGGATTTGTGGGACGTCTCCCACTGAGTTAGTTTTGACAAAGCACGCAGTGTTGAATTGTCTTCATTTTTATATTACTGACTCAGCTATCTTATTTAAGACTATATCCAACTTGTACATATGCAGTTGTTAGTAGCACGTTTCTATTGTGCTTGTAGGGCTTGTAACATCACAAAATGATGCTGTTTAAGGGCATTTGATGCATAATTCATTTCAGGTAGTGAAAATTATATGTTAATTAGAATAAAATACATGCATTAGTTTCACTGTGATGATCATTTCTGACATAATGTATTTCTTCTAATTGGTATTATGTGGCAACTGATTTACATAGCGTCAGTCATGTCTAATATTACTTACTATTAGTAATTTTTTATTTAGACCATGATACTGAGTACGAAGTAGATTGCTTGGTGAAGTAATGTGCTATGTTTTTATGCATGTTGTGCTCTTATTTGGATAAATACTGTGTGTCAGTTTAATGTGAATTAAGCTAAAACATTTCATTACTCTTAAGTCTGTGTGGAGATCAACAGCACTTAGCATGAAAAATAAGATGCGGATTCTCAACTCCAATGTGAAGTCAGTGTTACTATACGGATCAGAGACTTGGCGCATCACGAAGGGGACTTCATACAAATTACAGAACTTCATCAACAGCTGTCTACACTGAATACTCAAGAACAGATGGCCGGAAAAAATCAGCAACAAGGATCTCTGAGAATGACTCAACCAGGAAACAACTGTGCAACAAGTATGCAGGAAGACACGGAGGTGAATTGGCTGTACTCTGAGAAAACCATAAAGTGACATCACACTCCAGGCTGTCGAGTGGAACCCGAATAGAAAGTGGCGAGTTAGTCGTCAGTGAGAGGGTGACATGGAGGACGTCATACGAAGAGGAAGTGAAAACATGGGGGAGACCTGGGGTCAGGTGAAAATTTTGGTGAAGAACCGAACGCAATGGTGACGTGTGGCTGAAGCCATATGTTCCACTAGGAACTAACGGAGACAATAATAATATGATTTCATATAGGGTCATAAGTAGAATATTACATTATTGCATGAAGTATGTGCGTCGGTGGCACAGTGGTTGGGACTCTCGCCAACCATGCACATGGTCTGGGGTTCGAGCTCACGCCCACGCACACCTGATATCTATGGTCGGCCTGCGAATTTTGGGCTACCGATATCCACGCTGAAAATTCCACACTTGTCCCCAAAATACGGTGTGGAATCAAGCTGTAATCAAAAATAAAAAATAAGTAAAATAAGTATCTAACTATATATAGATAACTATATGTAGACTTGCTGCTTGGGGTTCACAAAACAAGTGAAATCGTATAGTAGGAGGTCTAGGTGATATGATTCGCAAAATCATCTACACCTTTTAGTTCTTAATGGTGTTATCCCCTTCTCACCATGTTATTTATACCTCTTAGTTTTGAATTCTTCTTGATACGAAGGAAAATAAATAACAAAAGTGATTCATTATTAAAACGAAAAATTGTGAATATCTAAGTTAAGGATCACGTTACAGTCCAAGTAATTAAACCTTGTATACCACTGGCACCCATTTTAAGAAGTTGATTATTTTTTAACCACCAGATTTCGATATCAGAATGACTCTGTCATGAGAGCTACAGTTCTCCAAAACAATTTAGGTAAACCATGTTTAGGTTTAAGAGTTACTTTTCGTGGCATGACTGTTACTTTTTACAATTTATTTGTTTGTTGCATTAAATTCACTTTGTTTCAGCGTAGTTAAACTTGTAAGTTTTATTAAACGTGATGGGTTTACTGTACTAAAATCTTATTTCTACAATTGATTTCTCACCTAGGTGCCCGACTGCTTTCCTGCTGACAGGTTTTCTGAAGCCTTGATATCTGCATGTAGAATGTATGTCGAAGATTGTTCTAGAAGGAAATTAGTCCCAACTAAAGTATCCATCCTCGTTGTAGTCGGTGAAAATGAAGGAAATATCTATGATCATCGAGCTTTAATTGGTCAACTGTTGTTGAGAAATCCTGATATTGGTGTTTTGTATCGTTCGTTTAATTCTCTGAAAACTGAGCTAAAGTTGGATTCGGATTTCCGTTTATTTGTGTAAGTGTTGTAAAAAATAATAGTGCATTGTCACCAATTATTAATCAATTCGCTCGATGCTTAATAGGGTAGTTGATTTCACTTAAAGCATATAGTTTTGGTTTAGAGTCTTACTTGTTAAAGCGTTATTTCACGTAACAACATACCTCTACGTTTGTGGTGAGTACAATCGAAATGTCCACAAATGCATTGGCCAAACAATCAGTAATTTCCTAGTAATTTGTTTGTTGAATACATAACACAGTGAAATATTATTATATACTGGATGACTTTTCGAACATAATTCACTATTCATAATCATATTGGTTATATCTCGATCTTCAGTTACTGATCTCTCCCTTAATCCTTTTAAATTGGATTTTAAGACTCATCTTGTCCCATTCTATTGTATAGCTGTGTGTGACTGCAAGTAGTACTGTTCCACCTGATTTTCATCTCACTTCTTGCGTTCTGAGTGGAACACAAGGCTTTAGGCCTGGGACCTTTAAGTTTCAGTAGCAGTGTTATTATTTTTTACTGGGTGGGATTGCTGGTCTCACGTTTAATGGGTTTGCAATCGGTTAGGTGAAGTTCAGAAGTATATCGGCCGGGGGATCGAACCACAGACCACTTGCATGGTTAGCGAGAATTCTACCACCGAACTACCAATGCTGAATTTTCTTCTAGATATCTTATTTGATTAAGGTCAACAAGTCTAGATTGTCTGTTTATATGCTCCGTTTGTCCATATGACCCTGATTTTTGACCTATGATTTCTGCCCCAGGTTATTAGACAAACTAAATTATTTGTTTAATGAGCTCTATGAGATCCTTTAATAGACGTAATTATTTCTTAAGTTATTTTGTTGGGTTTGAATACCTCTTTTATTTCTGCCTTATTAAGAATCCTACACAAGTTTTCAGGGATTTCTTCTTCGTATGACAGCACTACTGATGTTTTAAATTCCCTCTTCTTAGTGTTACTGTCTTCATGTGTGTTTCTTATTCGCTTCATCTTTATTGTTCGTGTTATTTTTTGTAATTTCCTAACATATATAATCAGAGTAATTATTAAGTGTCAAAGCTTTTTCTTATGTCTTGTATCTTGTCGTAGATTCCCCTTTGAACTATTCATTTCTTGGGAATCATCATTTAAGAGTGTCACTAATCCTATATTCACTGAAATGCGGTTGAATGAATCGAAATCCAAATGTCGGTTTGAAAGTGAGGGTCTTACGTAAACACTTATGTTCAAATTCCTTTCGTTTTTCATTTATATGGTGCTATCCAACTTGAAATGTCCCCATTCACTACTTTACAACCTATAAGTGCACTGTATTGCGTATTTCCCTACTCTGATATGGTTGTAGTACTATTAACGAGTCATTTACATCCCTGCAGAATACTTTGGGCCAGAACGTCCCAATTCCATACTTTTCCCACATACCCTTAAATATATCTACCTCTTTTGGAGATATCTACGAACCTACAGAAATTTCCCCAGTTCATCTGTGTATTTTTCTTTTCAAAAGAATGGATACTGAACAAAGAATACCCTTTTCGGTAACTTCATCGTCAGGCTCTACAGTTATATATGCACTATAGTGAATGAATGAATTAGTGTTATGAACAACATTAATGCTGTTTAAATAACATCGAATCAATAGTATCAATAGATTACAGTTCATTAGCATCAACATAAAATAAGCTGAATGTCAGAAAAATTAGGAAAGATAATATTACAAATTCATGAATTTATAGTCTATACTAAAGGCTAGGGTAGTAGTGGGGGCTGGGCTTGCTTCTTCTGCACACAGAGCACTGCTTGTTTGAGGCGAATTGCAATAGCCTCTGCTGTTTGGAGCATGGGGTGCTTCGATGTTTTTGGCAATTTATTAAGCACCCAGTAGATGATTGAGAAGGACTCTTCAACGCTGGCTTTGTGGCCGGTTTGCATCAGATGGTCCAATATCGAACTGCTATTGGTTTTCACTACACCTTTACTTAGCCATACTGGGAGATGTTCTCGAGCACGAAAAATCAAGTTCCTAAAGCAACGCCCGACATAACTCGCTCAAAAAGCGCAGTTGAATTGGTAGATACAATTTGAAGTGGCTAGTCTAAGTACTTCATCTTTCAGTCGAGGGATCACCATCGGTCGTGTAGAGAATATGACGCGTAGTTCGCCAGCCTTTAAGTTCTTTGAAATAATTTTCTTAATTTCTTCGTAATTATTTCACTTGGTATATCGCCCTTGAATTGCAGTTGTATATAAAGAGGCTTTTTGTTTACGGATAGTGAGTAGTCCTTTTCCGCTTTCTTTGTCATGTGTTTCTTGATAAATTTGTCGGGATAGCTATTTTCGATCAAAGTATCATATATAATGCTTAATTCATCTTCAGTTACTTCTTCTGAGAATATAGCTTTAATTCTGTGGCTGAGGGTCTTCACTAGATTTCTTTTGTCCTGTCCAAGTACTTTTTCTATGCAAATTTTTTTTATGCTACCATCTGTTTTTCTTGTAAGGAGGACATCTAGAAAGGAAATTCTGTTTTGGGATTCCTCTTCACACGTGAATTTCATAGCCGAATGTACTACATTGAATTCAGTAATTATTGTACTCCTATCCGAATCATTATCACAATATACCGGCAATAAAATGAGAACTTTCTGGTAAGGTTGTTCAAAGGTCCATTTTCTAGTTTACTTAGAAAGAAATCAACCAAAATGGGACCCAATGAAGAATACTTCAGGAATCACACAGCTGTGCTCATAATATAATACCTTTTGCTCATCCTTCTGCTTCTTAATCCAGGTTCTTGATAGGGAATAATTTCCTCCCTGGCCATTTCCGTAGATGGTAATATCGAAAATAGCCGTTTTACCTTTAATATCTAATTTTAAACTATTCATTCTATGTTTAGGTTCTTAAAAACTAGTAATTTGGAATTTTGAATGATTTCTAATCTGACCTATTATTATGAAAATGATCAGCTACTAATCTAATTGGATATCCTAACTTATGAAATTTGCCAACTACATACACTAAATCGCTTAGACTCATCTAGTCACAGTTCATTTGTCTTATGAAGTCTGTTAAGGATGTCTTAACTTAATTCATGGTGGTGTATACTGGTTCTTTAAGTTTTTCATATGATGTGGACATAAACCTTTTCCAAGTATTCTGGTTGGTCTAATACCTGTGTTTAATTTCCTTTATCTGATATAGAAATTATTATATTCTTGTTATGCTAGGATTCCATTTATAGTTTCAATAAGTTATGTTTTCCTCTTAACTTTTGTTTTGCACATTGTGCTCGTATTTAAGCTGAAGTCGTTTTATGTATTGCATTTAGTGATATGTCCAAAAACAACTTCAGGTGAAATATGAGCATTGTATGCACTTGCACTAAAACGAAAGAAGATAGAGTAACATTCCAATGAATTCACCTGCATTTAATCACATAGTAGGGTGGGTGAGTTGGTCAAGTATTAAAAAGTAATGTAGCTAAGTGGAGGAAGAGGTTAACCACTGCATCTTTGTACATTTAATCAATACCAAACATGTGCAATCGAAACAACGAAACACATATTCTGGATGTGTGGAAAGTGGTGATAAAAAACACGAGTAAAACTATATAAAGCGAGTTAGGAAATCATACGAATATATTTATATAATTATCAGAATTGATTTGTTCTGGAAACGTCATCCAGTTATTGACGATGTTTTACTTTGTTATATCAAATAAAGATCGAATGGACTTTTCATGCTGGATTTTGGTAGAGTTTCTTACAAGTCTAAGAATCTCGACAATTTGTTTGGAAGTTTTATGTGGAGTATTCGACATATGTGGAGTGGGTCTATAAAATTCTACATAATGTCCTAATGTCATTCGAAAAACATATTTTTTATTTATTCAAACACAAACTTCGCACAATACGAACACCAGCTAGTCCGTCACACACAAAAAAGAAACACAGTATATAGAAATCCACTAGAACAGTCAATGAAAACGATCATGAGGAACAGGTAAACATATTCGTCAAGAAAATGCGAAGGATGGTTCATTACTTCGCATTACTTTCAGAAGAGGAGAAAATAAGAGATTACAGCATGTTTGGCATTGATTGTGAGCTATTGATTCGAACTATCTTTCAGACCCCCAACTAGTCACTATACACCAACAGATACTAACCTGGCACAACAATCCTTCGTCCCACCGCACGACTTCATGGGCTGACCACCCTTCCGTCTTTTCCACCGAGTCCCAGAGCTAGTAAACAACAAACGGTTTGGGAGCCGTGGTACATACCGAATGCACTAAGTCTGGTGTTCTAAGATGACAGTGCTCATCGCAAGACGGTCTCCAACTCGTCCTAACACACTGTTAGTTTTGAAAAGTATTTACATTATAATGCCACTTAATACAAGCAGTTATACAGAGGCGGCGATAATCGGATACATAAAGTCACAGCGTGTCCTCAGATTGGACGATCTGAGTTTCACAGGCGCATATCAAGAATTCACCCACTGAAGCATTGTAAAGCGGATTTACGACAACCAGGCTAACTTTGTGATGGCTTAAGGGGTGATCAAGATTGGTTTATGCCGCTGTGACTTTGACTATACAGCTAGAGATAGTGGTAAACTGTAGAGTTTTCTGAACACTTTGGACAGAAATCTTGGTGTATGCGTCAGGTCATTCACTTCGGTCAAATGTAAGGTGACACTATGGAACTGGTCTGCATGAACCCCTAGTCTAAAGATAGCGGGTGAAGCAGTCGAGCGTGTTGACCACGTCACTTATTCAAGAAGTTACATCAGCTATAGTAGACTGACTAGTAACAAAATCTCAGCATGGATGGAAAGGATCGTGTGGCACTTGCTAACTTACGTCATCTTTGGCGTAGATGCGATACCCATCTGTCGGTTAAAGGACATGATTGCTGCGCACCAGTTCACCTTGTTCTTCTTTATGGTTGTGAGACGTCGTCATTGAGAATGAAAGGCATGAAGACTA